CCTGTCCGAAATTGCTCCATCTACCAACGGAACTCCCGTCAAGGTTTCGTCTGGGTTTGAACATGTAAATAGCCTAACATTATTATATTACTGTATCTGGCCGGTTAATCGTATCCATTTCCAATCCGACCATGCGTACTCTTCTTAAATATACCTTTCCTCCTCAGATATCGCAAGAAGAGGGTGGGGGATTACCGAGGGGCCAAACCGACTACAAGGCTCATGTAATACTTTAGGAAACAGTAAATATTTGATTTACGTTTACAGTCATAGTGTTTTCTAGTGTCCGCTGAACGCATAGATTCACTAACATCTATACTTGCTTCCCTAGTTGTATTTCCATTTAGACTTACGCGGATTATGTGTCTCGGCAATGCTTATAAGCCGACCTCAACACCGCCAATGGTCTACACAAAACTTCTGACAAGCATCAAAACTTAGCGGTAACATATAAGATTAGTTCAGGTTTTCAAATGATCCCCGATAGGAGTGTTTACGTTGATCGTGGTCCGTTGTTTCAACTTAGGGCCTGTATTTCATTGATAATGATGAAGGCATCTCAAATGTTATTGCTTCTCTTAACACATGGCTGCCTAAAGATTTTGCTGGCTTGATTGATTTTGAACATATAGAGGTAACCAACCCATTCTTTGCGGTAGTTGGTAACCATACCAGTCCTTTTCTAAGCTGGCTAATTTATGTCCATATCAACTAACGTTTTGAACGGTCATTTGTTAATTATATATACATTTGCCTTCTATGACTGCTAACGTTACTGTGCTATAGCAGGATATAAATCTGGAAGCACGCGCCGATGTCACCAAGGTACGCTATTATAAATGTAAATCCGCACCTTAGATACATTCAATTCTAAGTGCTTTCATGGATTACTTCACAAACGTACAGGACTGTCCACCTCTTGGAACAGAAGCTACAGTCATTAAGGAATTTAACCGTGAACCTGCCAACCTGGTAAACATTCCATTTTGCCATCCACATCTTTATTTCCGCCATACGATCAGTGCTTAAAATTGGACTTCTTAATACATCCACAAATACTCATGCGTACAGGCTTATCCATTTAACTGACCATCATTATAATACTATACATAGAAATCCAACTAGTTACCCATACACCGTCCACCAAGATCTATTCATGATAAACATGTAATTACATATCCACAAATTCCATTCCATTGCTACAGAATCATTTGGAAGGCGATCAGGTCACACCCCTTTCATCCGGCTGTGCGCGGTCTATGCTGCCCCCACTTCCACTGGTAGAGCAACCCTTGCTACCCATTGGTTACAATGTCAATCCCAATTCCGCTGATGTACGTGTCCATGTAAACTACAGCACATATAGTTAAATATATGTCAACACTTATGTTGGTTATTAATAACTTTTACTCGCCTCAATGGTAAATAGGCGCCCCATGAAGAACGTACTATGACCACGCCGGCGGAGACTATGGCATCAAACCAAACAGAAACCCCTCAGACGAATGATCACCAGATCAGACTATGGCATCCATCGCACTCAGTCCGTGATCCTTTAGACATTCTCCCGATCATTTCTGAAGAACAGTTCACCGAGTTTCATCATGCCCTGTTATCATCCCCATTCAGGTTCCCATCTGGTTTTACATATGTTCTTTTATAATCACAGTTCGGTTATTTGACTATATAGGTCATAATTATTATCAGGAGTCATAAACTCCCATGTGGTCAAGCACTTACCAACGACTTTTTCATTGCTCTTGCTGCCAAGGACGAATGGACAACGCCCCTGGTAAATGTTTTTGGCCAGCTTAACTTGCCTGGTGGTCGGGTATTTACGGATTTTGGATTTCACGGAAGTTCTATTTTTTTCGTATGTTACAGCAAATGGAAATGCTAATGGAGACCCTTGGCAGACGTCATGAGAATACATGTCAGGCGGAGCGATGTATCTTCGTTGCCCCATCTTTCATAACCACATTGCAATCGAAGTACAGGTCATTCAAAAAATCCATCAAAAAATCTTTGTTCACATGGGACGGCAAAGTAAGGAAGTGTGTGGCCAGCCCAGGGAAGACATGGTTTAACGACGTTGACTTCGTCTACACACCCATGTTATGGGGTGTTAAACACTGGGTTGGTTTAGCCATCAGTTTAAAGCTCTGGCATGTCTATGTCTTAGACCCTATCCCCTCTCTCACAACAAAGGATGAGTCTGTCACATATATGGAACCTGTTATCTACCAGCTACCACACATCGTCAAGAAGTTTTGCCGTGAAGACCAGTCGCAGTCTCATGGGATCGACCCCTTCGTTTGGAACAGAGTCAAGTGCAATTACAAAGTGTCAGATCCGCTTCATTCAGGGCCGCTAGCAGTTAAACTAATGGAGAACCATCTTCTCGGCGATGTCATCAAAGATAGTTCAGACTTTACAGATTCCACCATTCTATCAATCAGGCGGGCCTATGCTATGGACATGTATCAAGAGCTGGTATCCCCTCTGTATATGTCCACAGGAAACTAATTTACGCATGCATCGGGAATTCGGTTGTCTGATTTTAAATCCTACATTTTAAAAGCTTTTTGTAGTTTGGCTGTACTATTTTACTATTCTCGGTTTACTTTATCTTTTGAAGCTTTTTACGAAAGACATCTCTGTCAAATCCTTTTACAATCATAACTCCCATCAAATTAATATTGCAACTTGTCAAGCGTTTTACAAAGTCAACTCTGGCCACGCAAATTCCTACTTCCTCTCAATCCAAAAATATATTGAGCTGATTATCTGTCCATTCTGCCTTTGAATCTTAACAAATTAAGTTTACACGCTTTTTAGGGTAGACACTTATGTATAGTCACATCGCCGAAAGTAACAATGCATTGTCGTCCTTGGAACCTGTTGCAAAAAGATTCCTCATCCAGCAGCATGGCAAGTGACGTATGGTGTCTCAATGGCTTCATCCATTAAAACCGCTTCGAATTTGGACGCAACCTTATCTAATTAAACTTTTAGTGGTAACCAATCCATTCTGCGCAGTAGTTGGTAACCATACCAGTCATTTTCTAAGCTGAATAATTTATGTCCATATAAACAAACGTTTCATACGGTCATGTCATACTTATATATAATTAGGTAAGGTATGACTGTTAACGTTACTGTGCTGTAACTGCTATCGTCCACACTTGTTCCATCCATGCTTTTTAGGTAACACAAACTATGGAACCTCCTCAATGAAAAATTTTAGTTAAACAATTGAACAAATTTTAAATCCACTTTTGGAAACACTATTGCCACATCCCATCCAACGGTACTCTTCAGTAAAGCTGCCATTTCTTTTGTTGGGAACACATTTCTTTCATTGTTCCTTTTGAGTACATCACGTGCTAGCGGATCTCGCCTCCCTATAAACACATTTCTTTTTTTTTAATTATTGAATATGACCAGATAGATGACAGTAACACTTTCCACATATCCGAATCCGCTTTTCGAGTTCAAATTACTAGTTGCATATAACTATGGACACTTGTGCTGTCTCATATCAATGCATTGAATCAGACTTTGACATGAGGCTGCTAAAGTGGACTGTTACACATCAGCCCCAAATGTCATCATTACAAAAGGTATGCATTAATCCTTCTAAACAACGATGGTCATCTTCGTTTTTCTAATACATGCCCTCAGTTGTGGATGTGTCCATTGTTTTTAATTGTGGATTTGGATGTGTACAAAGATACGTCTGTGAATGTAGACATGTTTCTAAATAAATGTATATTGTCTTCTGTTATGTACTATATCCCTTACAGTCATAACCTCATACCATCGACCACCTCTACAATTCCACCATGCCATTCAGTTATAGCTGGAGTTCTAAAGGGTCCGCTGTGCCTGACGTAAACGAGTTTGATTGGTGGCCTATTCCAAAAGTCGGGTTACCCTCAAGGTGTTCATGCGGAGCAGAATTGCAGCTTGAGACATCCGATACACCTCCGAACACTGGCCGTCATTAGTACGCCTGCCAAGGCCCCCCGGTTAGTAATTTACCATTCATACCCTTCCTATGGAGCTATTCGCTTTTTTGTAAATACTGTCGTTTCAATCACAGGCCCAAGGATGCGGGTTCTGCAAATGGTGGGATTACGCAGTTATGGAGGAGTTAAACATGCTCAAAGGAAGGCACCAAGAACACAACGACCGACTTGGTTACATGGCCTATGACGAATTCGGTTTCCCCTACGACTTCCCCGCACTTTTCGGTGATATACGCTCACTCAAATCTGAGTTCGAGATCCTACAAGCTAACCTAACCGAAATGAGGTCGCAAAACCGGAAACTGCACCGTATCACATTCATGATTCCCCTTGCTATTGGGTTCATCTGTGCTTTGATATTTTTATCATCCAGCACCTAATGTCTGTAGCAGGTTACATAATCACTTATGATGTACTTGTCTACCACTATGTCAGAAGTTATTATAAGTTATTGTTTTTCACGTTTATTATGCAATGCATCGCCCTATGCAATGTCTCGTCAACTCCCGCTGTCATTATATAACTGTATTGTATTATTGTTTAATTTATTATTTCAGTGTATGAGAAATTTTAAAATTATTAATTAACCATTAATTCACTATAACGCTAGCTACAAACTTGTATTATCCATTAATGACATCAGTGGACCAAAGGCTTTTCTATTAATAATAAATTTTGATCCTACTTCTCTATAAAATCAAAACGTTGCAAACACCCCTTGTATTATTTAATCGGTATATTCTTCATGTATATATGTGGACACGTACAATGGTATAAACTAATTGGTGGATAAGTCTGTGTTGTTCCCCGGTTTGTCTCGTCCACCGTGGGACTAATAGAATTTTTAACATTTACCGTTCCTAATACATTTACCTTTATAAATATATTCATTTTTACACTTCCTCCTCCTTCATTACAATACTAAGTCTAAATCTCATCTTCCTATTTCGAACACTTCATAATTCAAACATGACTGTTCCCACCTCCTTCACTGTTTCATATTCCCAAATTCCTTCTTTCCTCTCCGACTTGAAAGAGTCCAACCCAGGGACGGTCACGGCCATTGAAACAACCACCGATGGGAATGGTTCTCAACTCTTCAAACATGTATTCATCTCACACGGTGCAAGCCAACTAGGGTTCCTTTACTTACGAAACCTCATTGTTGTTTCTGGTGCCAACATGAAAAGACAGATACCAGGTTATCTCATCGTCGCTGTAGCCCAGGACGCAAACTTCCAGACATTCCCTCTCGCCATGGCGATTGTAGACCGTCAGAGCGAAGAGACGTGGAGGTGGTTTCTAAAGGAGCTCGAGGAATGCTTCCCTGACAATAACCAGATTACATTTCTGTCTGATGCAGGCCCGATGTTTACAAGATCTCTCACAGCTATCTACCCAAACGCCAAACACGTTGATTGTCTTCGTCGTGTTCAGATGACAGTGCAGCTTTATTTTCGAGACACCACATTGAAGAGCATGATTCGGGAAGCTGCGTGTGCTTACACGACGGGTGCGTTTCGGAGGGGCTTCAACCAGCTGAAGGAAAAGAACCAGGATTGTGCTACATTCCTACTGGCGTATGGCTTGCCTCGTTGGACTAGGTGTTACCAAGCCGGTGAAAGATTCAACATGATGACTGCAAACATTTCCCAAAGCGTGCTTCATCTAATGCTTTCTCAACCAGTTATGCCGATAATCCAGTTTCTGACCTTTTACCATTCCACTGTCATGGTTTGGTTTCGGTCAAGGCTTCGCGCATCAATGGACCACACAGGCGTCATCTCTCCAGGTGTTCAGAGTTTAATGGACAAAGCCAGCGACACCATGATGCAATGGCAGGTTACCCAAATAAGTTATGGGTGTTGTGAAGCTGTGAATAACCTCGGCGAGACACATTTTGTGAATCCTCTCAGACGCACATGTTCTTGCATGATGTTCAACAAACTTTGGATCCCATGTGTTCATGCCATTGTTGCCGCTGATGCTTTTGATGTCCCGGCATCGTCTCTTGTTCATAACTGCCACACCTCTCTCGCCTGGTTTGAAACCTACACATCTCAAATCTATCCTATTGCACCACGGAATGAACAGACCAACACTCCATTGCCTGAGGCCGAACTGGTTCTGCACCCCCCAACACCGAGAATTCTCGTCGGTCGTCCACGGAGTATTATCCATATGGTAACCAATTTATAATTTTTCATTTCCTTTTCCAAACTGTTTCCTCACTTGCATTTTCGTTATCTGTACAGCCTGAATGAAGCAACATGGCCACAAGGAATTCGTCATCTATCCTAAGAGCGCATCTCATCCTATCATCTTTTGTTTTATATGTAATTTGTGTTCCTTTTCTTTTTTTTTTGATATCCCCTACCTGTAGAACCGGTTCATACGGTTATGTCCATGAACCTATTTTCCATTTAAGTTATATTTCGTCTTCACTCTCTCTACATATACATCCAATTGATTCGAAACTAACATAAGTAAATTAAATCTACTCCTATTTCAATTAAGAGTACACAAAACTCACTCAAGTTATAAAAGTTAAATTATAAATATGCCAAAAATTGCCCACTGATTCACTTCCACAAATCTCTATGCATTTTTGGAATAACGAATTCCCAGACATGGCATACTTTTGGGTGGATATCTATAAAATGTACGACAACATTTATATCATCTGATGTGGCACAACTGTTTGATGTGTCAGATAACATCCCCTCGCCGAACACAAGGTCACTAATCAGGCCTTGAAAATCGTTAACTTGACATAAGTAGTGGCCCCAAGCAAACATCATTACCGTCAGCTGAGCTTTCTACAACATAGGATTATTACACAACTTTTATATGCTGGATAATTGGAGTCATAGTTCTAACCAGCCCATTAAAGGGAAACATTAGTTATATTGATCTATGTAGTATTTGTCCACGATATAATGGTCACACCCACATGTATTGTATTGTGGACCAGACCACAAAACTACAGTGAGCATACCCACACAATGCTTTTTTAAAAACCTTTGGGCGGCAATTTTAAATAGGTCTACGCTTTACACAATGCGGGCAATCACAAAAACAACATTTTACTTCAACAACATAAAGATTAGGTTAACAACAACAAAGACATTTACATGCTACGCCCTTCAAAGGTAAAAAAATAAAAAAAGTTAATTAACAATTATCAGACTCTAGTTTATTACATCAGTATTATTTCCTCATCTGTCATACGGCTTCTTTTTGCAGATATAATGGAAATGCAATGTGAATGTTCTGCTGGTGTTTGGCGCTACAGCCAGAATGGGAAGTGGGATTTCGAATCAGATAAGGCTCTAATGGCCGGCGTCATCTCTTTACGCGATGACATGTCTTTGTCTGATTTGCATAACGTTGTAATCAAAGAGTTTCACGGCGACCTCAATGAAAACAGGACTGTCGAAGTATCATATTGGTCTCCTCTGCTGACAAACAACACATCTGGGATTTTTACCCCACCGGTAATACTACGCACTTCGGCGGCCATAAGTTTTTTGATAAAACGTTTGAAAGACAATCCAATGATATCGCTGTTCGCTAGATTTGACTTGACCCATCACAAGCCAGCAGACATGGACAAGGAGATCTCAACACCGCTCTCGAAAAGACCTTGTCTTAGTGTTACAATGTCTACTCCAGATGATAGGAATTACAATTCATCTAAGCATCATGGATCTTCATCTTCTGGTATGTTCGTGACACCCCAAGCTACCGTGACTACTGTTCCAATGTTGGACGACGAACAACTTCTCCAGCACGCACTACAAGTGGAGCAATCTCTATCTCGTGTTCCAGGACCCCCCCCCCCCCAAGGAAATCTTTTGCTCACTCCACTTCCAATTTTTAACCTTGACGTCCCAAGATTTGACCTGAACCTGCCCGATGACCCTCATACATCCAATCCACATCCATACGCAGATGCGGTCGATGACCACAACTCAGATTCTTCCGAAAGCGACGTCGATGAAAGAGACGACATAGATAATATTGAAGTCTATCCACGTGGTTATGACCACGAGTTCTGGGATCCATTCTTAGAATCAGGATACGATGGATCCAATGCTCCGGAATTGGTATGCGAGGACGACATTGTTGCAGATCCCATGCCTATCTCCCAAGAATCTAATCAACCGTTCGTTATCGCGCCATCAACATATGCTTCCATAGGCAGTTTTCCAACAGTTATGCCCAATGGAACTACTAGAACTCTATCCGACTACACTGATGAGGATTTTGATATTCCCCCGTTGTTTGATGATTCTGTTTACTCTGTTCCTGACATTCCTGATCTTGATGGCTCAGATGACGACGATAACCTTTTCGTTGGGAAAAGGTATGGAAGCAAGGCGGAATGCCAAATAGCATTGGCAGTATACGCAATTAAGAAAATGTTTTGCTTCCGACAACCTAGGTCTAATCCTAAAAGCTTCATCCTACAGTGTACGGATGTCAAATGTGGTTGGCGTATAAGAGTAGGCCAGATTGGGAACACAGGCTTTTACGAACTCAAAATGGTTGAACTCAAACACACTTGCGCATTCGAGACTAAAAACACATACAACCAGAAAATTACATCACGCGTCCTGGCCGCGGTTTACAAATCTCAATATGGCGACCCATCCACAGGCCCAAAGGCAGCTGAACTACAGAAACTAGTCCTACAAGATCTTCGAGTTTCGGCGTCGGATGAAATGTTACCGTGCCAAAGGCCAAGCAATAGCAACGTTTCGTGGAAAGGATGAGGAATCATATCTTCGCTTACCCGCCTATCTGTACGTGCTCAAGCAAGCAAACCCAAACACTGTAACAGATTTGGTCACCGAGACAGACAAAGATGGCTTGTTGAGATTTAAGTATGTTTTTGTCGCATTTGGTGCGTCAATTCTGGGGTTCCGTAGACTGAGAAGAGTATTGATCATTGATGGAACTCATCTCTGGGGGACTTACCGAGGTGTACTCCTTACTGCCAGCGGCCAAGACGGGAACTTTCAGGTCTTCCCATTAGCATATGCCGTGGTCGATGCTGAAGATGAGGAATCATGGACGTGGTTCTTATCGAAAGTCGAACGACTATTGGCAGACAGCACCAACTTGACTATCATATCAGATCGCGCTGATTCAATTTACTCTGCAAAAAAGAAAGTCTTTCCTCTTGCCCACCACGGTTCATGCATTGTTCATCTTCAACGCAACGTCAAGTCAAGGTTTAAAAACAAGGGTCTGGCTCAACTTCTTTCCAAGGCAGCATATGCTTATCGGCAGAAAAGCTTTCGAGAAGCTTATGAACAAATTCGAAACTGCAGTCCACAATGTGCTAAGTATTTAGACGACATAGGTCAAGCACACTGGTCGCGATACCATTTCAGGGGAGAACGGTATAATATAATGACAAGCAATGCGGCGGAGCAGTTAAACCACGCATTGAAGAAAGGGAGGGCATCCCCAATCGTAGAACTACTTGTTTTTATCCAAAAAATAATGTCACGATGGTTTTTTGCAAGAAGAAAGAAGGCACAACGGTGGGGGGGTTTGTCTACACCTGAAGTCGACAAACTGATCGCAAAGCACAAGGAGGATTCAGACTTCAGCAAAATAAACCATCTCTCTACCTGGAGTTGCGAAGTAATTAGTCGCCTAGGTGAAAAGAATAGGGTAATGGTCCAGGACAAGAAATGCACATGTAAAGTCTATGACCGCCTACAGATACCTTGCAGCCACGCCTTGTGTGCTGCAGACAGTTTGGGTCTACCACATAGTTCTCTCCTCTCAGAATATTACAAAACATCCACGTGGGCCGCAACTTACAAGGAGGTTATTAACCCGGAAGATGACCCTGACGACGCCGACTTACCAGATTCTGTTTTGAGCCTAATCTTACATCCCCCAAATGCAAAAAGACCGCCAGGAAGGCCTCGAGAAAAGAGAATTCCCTCTAGAGGGGAGTTACGGGTACGTTTCCATCCAATTCATTTATCACCATTTATCAAGGATTACATCATCTATAGTCCAATTTATTACTTCATAATTTCAGCCAAACAGAATCAAGAAAGCAACTCCGAACAAATGTGGACACTGCCACGGCACTGGTCATAACAGGTTACGATGCACTAATCCAATTTGAACATCTCGACACTCTGTGGAGCATCCGACCAAGATAGTACTTATGACATCGCATCTATGTAGGATTCCATCTTTTTGGGTTTTGTAAGTCCATGTTAATTGTGGATGCTGTCAAACCACGATGTCCTTTTTTGATAATGGTACTCTCAAGTATTGCCTAAACTATAAATGTCTTATAAGTATAAGCCGTATTATATAGTTCACTTAGTACTCGTTTATCGCCACAGGAATTTACCGTCGGGGTTAAACCAAAAATTCCAAACATTTAATATCTACCAAAATGGTCGGAACCATCTAGACATCATTTCGATATAATGTAAAGTTCTGAACTAAGAAGCCTTGTCTTCTCTACATGTTGCCAGTAAACCGTTTACATACAAAGGTTACTATTTTTCTTACAACGTCAATGTGTACTAGCGTATATAGTCCCCTTCCCCGATATATCTCCGCAGCGACTCGTAGGTGATAGTTTCCTGGATGGGGCTGCAAACACCTCCCTCCTGGACTAGTAGGTTATTGTTTAGTCCTTTGGTCTTAACCACATATAGCGCCCACAACTATTTTCGCCAAAATATTCAGACATCCATATCACCACTGTTCCAATCTATACCTCTTGCCCTATCGGGTTATGGACATCTCCACATGTACTTGTTAAAAAAACCCGACATATAGTGACTCGCCGTAAATCGGAATTTGGGAAAACGGAAATGTAAAAAGAAATCAGTTTCTATCAATCCGCTTTCTAAGTTTACAGTCGGTCGATGCGAGAACAGAAATGTCGTTTCTGTAACGTGTAGTTGAACTTGCCGTTTCCGATTTCAGACGTCAAATTCCGGCATCGGAGGGCAAGTCTCCACCGACACAAACATTCGCCGACGAAACACAAACCCAAACCAACGCAAACCGACGCAAACCCAACACAACTTAAACCGAACCGTAGCGTTGTTTTGTAAGTGGGAAGGAGGGATTGAAACGAAATTTCACATCGCAAAACTATGAAAAAGTGCCATCAGGATCTAAAGTGTCATTTTCTGTAAATATGCACCCAAAAAGTGCCATTACATGTAAACGACTCTTTTTCTTAAGCACCTGAATCAATGTCTAATAATGAATAGGTCGCTTCCAAGGACCTATCATCTATTGATTTATCTGAATTTTTCATTTTGGTTTTGAGTCAATAAGGTAGATAATACAAATCTTGAATAAAATTAAATAAATAGTAATGATAAGACATTAAGCTATATATACAGTGTTTTGTCGACGTGTGTTTTACCTTTTAACCCTTTTTTGTTTTTCTTTTTATTGTTTATGCTACCAATTATATATTCTTCACGTGTTTTTCTTCTCTCTTCTTCTAGTTTCAGTTTTTTTCTAGCCATAGAAACAAAACTTTCTGGTTAGAAAAAATCAAAAACAAACACATCAACATTCAAGACTTCGAATCTATAGTTTCCTAACAAAGATCCAACAAATAAATTCATAGAATTCTGCAAAAATCAGGTGAAATCCACAGTTTAGATGAAAGCCATGGATCCATAGTGATGAAAAAGAAATTCACCCGAATTATTTGAAAACTGTGAGTTAGAATTGAGTAAATTTAGTTAGATGTTAAATTCTAGTTGATTCAGTGAGTTACATTCGAGTTCAGTCTAAAATTTTTGTTAATGCAGTACGTTTAATTAAATACATGTTAAAATATATATTATACAATTACATAATCTGTTATCAACTATATATTTTATTAGCATGTTAAGTTTTTGCATTCTTTAACACTGAGTTGCTAAATTTGATTCGATAACATGAGAATATCTTAATCCGTTAACACATATAAGTGATACAATTACATAAAAGGTTATCCGTCTAAAAAAATTTTTAGGGCGCTGCATTTCATCTCATACATGTTAACATAGAAGTTATACAATTACATAACGTGTTATGCAATTATATAATATGTTACCGTGCTAAGTTTTCTATTTTTTAACATCTATGAATTGTTACATCTGGCTGGTTGAGTACCACATTGAATATATTTTATGTAATAATAAGATATCTATCTTTCTGAAACCAGAAATTTAAATCTGAGAAAAAACCTTGGTGAGATTCCTATAAATACCACGGAAAAAAAAAGAGAATGAAGCCTCGTATAAAAAGAGATAAAGAGAGAGAGAGGGAAAGAGAAAAGAAGATAGCGTCATGTTAAATTGAATAGTTGTATTCCAACATATACCAGCACAAGGGTACAATTGGAATTAAAAAATATCAATAATACTCCCTCTGTTCCTAAATAGATGATGTTTTAGTATTTTCACACTTATTAAGAAGCAATAAATACATATTTTATTAATTACTTTTTGTTTTTTTTTAAAACTATTTTGCTATGTTCAATAAATATATAACCTTTATTCACACTTTTCAATACTATTTCAGAAATTTGATATTCTTACAACCAATGTAAATTAAGTATTTTTTAATTTACAAATAAAATAACATTAAATACTTCTAAAACATTATCTTTTGTGAAACAATACTAAATCTTAAAACATCATCTATTTAGGAACAGAGGGAGTACATTAGTTTTCTCTTTGTTACTTTCCCAATTATGACACTTTTCTTGGATAAAGGGTGCAAATACTCTTTGGCTTTTTAATGTTTTTATTAAAGATAAATTTAATATAGCAAAAATACATTTTTTTTGGTGGTTAAGAAGGAACTATAACATTTTTTTAACAAATGGAATTCGGTTTTTGACATTGACCCACGTATAATAGTTGTGTTTATGTTTAATTTACATGAGACAAATCATGTTTAGATGCGATAATTAGATTTAGATATGGATCTTCAAATCTGAAAGCGTTTTAACTATACAGATGTGGTGTTTCTAACGTCACACCTAGGGCCGGTCCAAAGCATAGGCGAGGTAGGCGACGGATTAGGGCATTCAATTTACGAAAACATATTTTGGTTAATTTTTTTATAAAAAGTATATATAAATAAACAAAAATTAAAAGATTTTTTATAAGATAATAATATTTGTAAGTTTTTTTTGTAATGTTTATGGACTTATCTCTAAAAAAATATTAGTTAAGAACAACAATTTATATTTTAGAAAGAAAATAGAATTTGCAGACTTGAAGGTTTCTTTAACGAATGGTATGCAGATATAGTTGGTGATGATCTGCTTCTGGAATTGAAAATTCTCTCAGAATTAATACCAAATGAAGTTGGGAAGCTTAATGAAGTGTTTGATTTTTTGAAATAAATGAAGGATTGTTATCAAAACACAGAAGTTTCATATCGTATATTGTTGACAGTTCTGGTATCGGTTTCTACTGCTGAAAAAGATTTTGAAATTAAAGCTGATAAAGAATTATTGGCGATCTACCAAGAGCGATTAAATGAGCTAGCTTTGTTATCTATTGATACATTTGTGGTTGAAAAACTCGACTATAAAAGTATAATAAACGATTTTGTAGGAAAAAATGCAAAAAAAAATCATATTTCAATAATAAAATATTAGTCTTATTGTGTTTTTTGTATTTTTTATAAACTATTTATGGAGTTGAAATATCTTGTTTTTGTTTATTTTATTTTTAAAAAGATATTGAAAAAAACATACTTTAAATTATAGACTAGAGCATTTAAATTGATTAGTCCGGCACTGGTCACACTAGTACTATATATCCAAGTCAAACTTGAAAATTTTGATCGGGCTAACTCTGATCTCATGTGTAACTGCTTTCTTTATTCATAATATCAAAAACCAAAAATAAAAACTAAACTCAGAATCAACAGAAAAATACAACAGAGAAACAAAGATCGACTCTAGTGCTAAATGAGCTACCGAACAGTGGTCATGATTCATGAGAACGAATGAATCTGACAGTAAATAAAAAGATAGAAAATAGAGAAATCTTGGTGAAAATAGAGCGTTCATCATTCAGCATATATTCATAAATGCATATATAATTTTGAGATTTTCTATAACTAAACAAATCAAACAAAAAAATAACTAAAGAAATTGGGGCATAAAATATTGTTTCATATAGATTTTTACTTATTTATATATATATATATGTATATATATTATTTTTTTAACTGGAGTAATCCTAAAAGCATCTCCATCAGAGGTTTATAGGGGGTTCATAGCACAAAAACATATGAATTTTGATTTAAAAATAAATCAAAAATGCTCAAATGTTAACATCCTATTACTTAGCTAATAACCCGAGCTGAGAGGTTCATAGCAACGTGGTCAGTTATGATTGGCTACGAATTTTTTTTTTTACCAGCGCAAAACCCAAAATTATAGAATTATTAATTAAATATTTATAACAATCGTAAGGGTAGGTTGACTGCTGGAGGTGCTCTAAGCTTCCCAGACCCACACTAATCTCCAGCAGCCGAGGTTTATACCAAAAAATTCTCAAACATATCTGGGTGGCCAAGTAGAGTCGAATCCATGCAGGACCGGCCCTAACTCTCTTTGCGCTTAAAATCTAACCTCAAAATTATGTCCATCAATTAAAAAAAGAAAACAAATAAAAAAACAGAAAAAGTGCAAATGTGAAGTTCAAACCTGAACCTTTAGACTGAATTACAGTACAAACCACTGCACTAAAGGAAAATTTGTTGAAAATAATGCTATTAAATTTACTATGGGTATGATTGGTGATTCCGTTTAAACAAGGCGGTTAAAGAATTTTGAGCGGTTGTAGCTAAGGCAATTAGAAAAGAGGCGATTAAAGATAGCGGTTGGAAAAGATGGTTTCATAACAGAAAGCGGTTGAAAATTAAGCTTGATTGATAGTATTACAGCGGTTGAATAGTGTAAATGTATAACATTATTAGGACAATGTTTTCAGATAATTATTTATAAAATGATACAATAACACATAGTTAAAATTCTATCATGACAAAGTTTTTGATAAATTTGAAATTCACAATCGATTTTTTTTTCTTTTGTTGATAGACATGAATGCATCCACACTTTTTTTAAAGAAGTTATACATAACAAATTTTAGGTTTTTTTAAAAAATATCAGTGATGATAATTGTTTTTAATAACTTTAAAATGCATAACCATTGTCTCATAAAAAAGTTTTTTTTTTATTTTGTCGAGTGAATTGAATTTTATGAAATAACAAAAAAAAAGTAAAACACACATATACATACAAAAAACAACTAATTTTATTAGTTTTTTTATTAAAAATTAATATCAAACTACAAATTTTATTATTAAAAAAAACTCTAGTTACAACCGCTCGTTTTCTCCAAACGTTCATTTTCTTTACAATTTGTAACCGCCCAAAAATTAACCTCTAACCGCCTGAATCTTCTTTCAACCGCCCATTTCAAAGGCTGATTACAACCATAGTTTAAAACGTTTTCTCCAACCGACGTTGCTGATTGGTAGTATTTTTTCAACCGTTCTTACCAACCGCTTTCTAAATACTACCAATCAGAACCTATATAATTTTGCGTTTAAAACCTTTGCTTCATGGATTTTAGGTTAGTCCCGGCCCTTATCCACAACTGGAGGCACATACTCGACCATTTTATATTCATATGTTATGTTTACCTTATCAATAAACTGATGTATACTATAACCATCACCAAATAAACCAAAAAAGATGTCAAAAAAAAAAAAACCAAAAAAAAAGTACTTCTTCGTTTAAAAAAAAAAAGTACTCCTATCAATTTACAACACAAATAATGTTATATTTGTGACTCATACGAGTAATATTGCCAAAAGATGTTGGCAGACAAATGGGTAATAAGCGAAAGAGATAGAGTGCCTCGAGACGACGAATTGAAAGTCACATGAAAACAAAGTGGGATGGCTCGAAACGAGAGAACGGCGCCGTTTGCGGGACTTAACGGTAACAGCGCTCAGGTGGGGCCACGTTACTACTGCTACCGTCCAACTTCTGTCTTTATTTTCTTCGACAATTTATCCGTACGGTCTCGTTTTTTCTTTCTTCGAATTAATTAATGTTAATACTTCCTAAGTCATAATAAAGTAATAAACCATATAATTAATTGACTACACACCGATTACATGTCTCAATACTGGTTTTTCTTTCAATCGGTGGGATATTTTTTGAATTTTTTTAATAATGTTAAATTTTATACCATTTTGATTTTTCAGAATTATAGAAATATACAAAAAGGGTGAAAACCAAAATCTAAAACGGAGATAACAATTAAGTTCAACATCACAACCTAAGAAATTAATTAAACAATAACAGAGAGGAACTAGAGATTAAACCAAACACTGTTGGTTGGGCTTTCAGGTGTTTTTGGATGTTATAGAAAAAAAAATGATCTACATCATAATTAGTATAACAATAATGATATTATCATAATAATTTAACTATTTTGATCTGATTAGTTGAAATAGTGTCATTCGTTACATCAACTTACATTTTTTTTTGGGTAAAAACAACTTAAAATTTTGATAAGTGGATTAATTGACGGCTATTAAAAAGAGGTTTACTCGAGTGATAGAAACACCAATTTATCTCTAATTTTAGGAATATTAAATTTCTTTTCCACAATGATATTAATTCTGTATAAGCTAAAGTGTTCAAATGTGTATCGCAATGTATGTCTCTGTGATGTGAGGATATAGAACTACGTACTTACCGTTATATATTAGAATAAGAACTAACTCGATGATTGTGTGATGATGACATTACATGGACCAAGGGCTCATCATTACTCCCACAAATTTCATATATATTGGACTACTAAAATATTCTCTCAGAAACGAAGTTTTAATTTACTAATTTTATGGGGTTCCTGAATTATTGCGTGGCTCAAAGTTAATTTTCACGTCTGGGGTTTGATGCTATTAACTTGACTTCTCTTATGTAGTTTTTGATTAGCTATGTTTTTTTATATGAATGCTAATTTCATTTTGAATTATACGTTTTTGTGTTTTGATAGTCTTAATTGTAATTACATCTTACGTTTTTGAAACCCTTATTAGTTTCAAATTACGCGAGAATTTCATTATAGTAATCGTGTAATTGAATCAATAAGTTATATAGACTATGGATTGGTGAGTTGGGATAAACGAAAAGGAAAGACAAGAAAAAAAAAACGTGACATATTCACATACACTGCTCAATTTGATAGAAGCCGCTTTGATAAAATAGTATGGTATGCCTAAATTATAAGATTACACATGAAAAAAAAATGCGACGCATTTTATATGGATTCGTATAACCTCAAGAGAACAAATGCAACGAAGTGACGTGAGTCACGTGACCTTTTGTTGTCAAAATACTTCCCCTTGGAAAACATCGGATTATATCAATGAACCAAAAAGACTATCAAGTTGATAGAAATTCTAAGCAAACCAATGTTTGTTTTTAAAACTCTGTCTACGATATTTTTGGTGAAAAGCTGATCCATTACTTCCCATTTGAGTTATTAAAACGTAACTGGAGTCGAGCTGACTATTTTACAATCTTGGATGAGTTAAAGAAAGATCTAATTCGGTACAGAATGTTTGAGAAAGGAAGAAACGGATGAGAGGCTCTAATTGATTTCAAAGGTTTGCCGCTTTGTTCGAATTCCTTTAAATTATGTATTTTCTTCTACTTTAAATAGTTGTGTGACATTGCTTTTGATTATTTAATTTAGCTCTTGTTGTACGAGATGTTATTAAACATTCCGGATAGACCCGACCAAAAAAAAAACATTCCGGATAGATAGTGAATATTTTCGGATTGAATATGCCCAAAAATAGGTGCGATCACACCAATCAAATCAAACTATGTGTTTTTTTTTTTAAATGAGAAATTTTGTTTTCTTGATATCAAAAATTGATCCAAGGAGACTGTGTGTTCCTTCGAAATTTGTATTTGTAAGTTATATTGACAAGAGAAGTCTAAAAATCGAACTCTGTTATTTTTATTTTATTTTATTTTTTGAAATGAGGAATTTTGTTATCTTGATATCAACTTGGTTCTAATATTGATCGAGATAGAGTAAGTGTTCCTTCGAAATTTGTTAATGCAAGTTATATTGAGCTAGAGCAGTCTGATTCATGGTCTTAAATCAATACTCATTATTTTGAGATGATACAAAGTATAATTTTTTGTAAGTAACCAAGAAGTTTCGTGCTTAGGCTCATAATTTTTTCGGATCAGAGATCATATCATTTTAAATTGTATTAGTTCTTTCTCCAATGCACTTGTTCAAACTCAGGATCTTCCCGACTCTTTTCCTTGGCTGGTCAAGTTTTAGTACGCTAGTTAAACTACCAACAAATATAAAATATTTTTCTACAAGATATAGTATGTAATTCATATTTTTTATATTCATTTCGTTTACAAACTCCTCTGCTGAGTTCATCTAATCTCAATACTAACCAATTCTATATTCTAAAAAAAACATAACCTGAATATTTGGATAAAAACTTAACAGTTATGTGTGGATTTTCATGGTTTCACGATGAAATTATCAGATTCGTATTTCTACAAGAATTAGTTTGGTCGCTCAACTAATATGGAAACGCTAAATAGTTTTATATATAGCAAAGGGTTATATGGCAAAATACTTCATTCTAATTAGGTCAAGCACTCCTCTACTAAAAACGATACAAATAAATAAAATAACAGATAATTCATTAAAATTTTGTTTTTTACTACTAATAGTGTAGTTGTTTTTTTCATTTAGTATCTGTATCAGTTGTCTAGTTTGTGGTAAGACCGAATAATAGACTAACATTTTTCTACAAAGATTTTTAGTCCATTGGAAACGCGTATTTCGTTTACAGTTATTGATTTGGTTACGTTATATATCTTTAAAACCATGAGATTTTGCAATTATCATATTGAATTCACCATTTAGTTTCATATAATCCATTCAATTTTCCAACATTGTTACCGCCCTTAACACCAAAAAAACAACATTGTTACCGCTCCAATCCCTTTTAAAAATTACAATTCAACACTTACAAATCAGTTTTGTAGAATAATGATAGTACTGCTTATTTTCTTGAAAAAAGCCAAACACCGTCCACGTTAAAAGAGCCAAAAAATTAAAGGCACTTTGTTTTTCTCTGGTTTAACACTCACGTGAAAATATGCAGTGAAAAAGAGATTTTTCTAAAAAGAGAGTAAAAAAGACAAATATAAACTTTAAAAATAAAAATTTAAATTGATGCCATTGTCAAAAGAAATGTAATTAATACCATGATACGTTAAAAAAAACTGAGAAAAAAACACACACAAGTCGAATGGGGATATTTTGTTTAAAGTAACATCCCATGTTGTCGTTTATGCCACGTCAGATACCTGCTATAGAAAAAGACTAGAGACTGCTAAAAAGTAAAAAGTAAAAAACTGCAGAACGCAACGGTCTAATTTTTTTTTACAGACTGCAACCAACTTAATTGACGAATGACCAAAAAACCCCTATCGTTGAATGCAAGGATAGATTCTCGTAAAAAGGTTTTTCAGAATTTAATTACAGCAATTAACCACTTCTTAACTACATTGCTAATAAATTTTTCAGGTCAAAGGGAAGACTAAACCGTCTTTCCGGTGTCTTCGAAGGCTATCCAATTTATTATTATTTTTTTTTTTAACTTGTTTTTTTCCTTAAAATTACGAAATGACAAAAACAAAAAAAGAAACCGGATTGTAAAACGCCGCAACCGCCGTTTCAGTATCCTATAAAGAGACTCTGTCTTCTTCAGAGTCTCTCTCTTTACTTACATATATGATATATGTGCTCTGCATCTCTCTCTCTTTTATCTTCTTCTTCTTCATCTTTGTCATCTTTTCCTCACTCTACACAAAACCTTGCTTTTTCCTTTTATCTGCAAATTTTTGTTCCCAGGAATATTTCTTAACCTTAATATTCATCCCAAAACAAGAAAAAAGCATCTCTCTCTTTTGCTTAATTACCAAACTCTGATTCCATAAGCATCTATCAAAGAGCTCTCTTTTTCCATCTTTCTCTTTTGTTCATCTTTCCCGGGAAAAATCTTCCCTTTTTCTTCTCATCTCTGCTCTCATTTCTCTCTTGTTTCAGAGCATCAATCTCTTGTTTCTTTCTTTATTCTTTGTCTCCTTCACTTTTTCTCTTTTAATTCTTTTCCTAACTCTCTCTCATATATATATACAATCACAGAACACCACAAAGAACACATAACTTATACAGTAGAGAGATTACAAAAATGGAGACAGAGAAGAAAGTTTCTCTCCAGAGGATAAAACTCACGGAGCACAAAACCAACAGCATCGTCACCACCGCCATAACTAAACCAAGAATCTTGCGAATCTCTGTAACCGATCCTTACGCTACAGATTCCTCAAGCGAAGAAGAAGATGATTTCGCAGAAATCTCCAGAAAACGACGTCGTGTCAAGAAATTCGTGAACGAAGTTGTTCTTGAGTCGACTGTTTCTGAGAAAGAGAGGCCGAAGAAGAAGACGAGAGGAAAGACGACGAAGACGACGGCGGAGTCTGCTGCTACTCCGGTGGCTGTTACGACGGCGAGAAAGTTCCGGGGAGTGAGACAACGGCCGTGGGGGAAATGGGCGGCGGAGATTAGAGATCCGACTAGACGTGTACGGCTTTGGTTAGGAACTTACGACACGGCGGAGGAAGCCGCCATTGTTTACGATAACGCCGCCATTCAGCTGCGTGGACCTCACGCGCTCACTAACTTCTCTCCTTCTCCGGCGCCGGAGCAAGGTGAAGAAGCTTCGACGGAGATGGCTGAGTTTACTACAAAAAGCGGCAGAGAATGCCTCGATTCTCCGGTTTCTGTTCTCCAATCTCCGTTCTCCGGCGCGTCGACGTCGTCGATTATGGTTAAAGAGGAAATTTCCGGCGAATCGACGCCGACGACTGAGGTGAAAGAGGAGCAATCGGTAAACTTTTCAGATTCGTTCACCGATTTCTCGGCGCCGTTGTTCTCAGACGACGACGTTTTCGGTTTCCCGACGCCTATTCCTGACTTTTACGGCGGCGATTTATTTGGAGATGATATTTTCGCGGATATGAGTTTCGGGTTTGGGCCTGGGTCTGGGTCTGGATTCTCCAGCTGGCACGTGGAGGACCATTTTCAAGATATCGGGGATCTATTCGGGTCGGATTCAATGTTAGCTGTTTAACTAATTAAAAAAATTAACGGTCCGTTAATCGTTGTTCGGCGAAGTTTTGTTACCGGCGGGAGTACGAAAAATATGGGCTAATTTTTTATATATATTTAAGAGATATGTTATTTATAGATTTTATTTTGAAAAAAAGAATTGTTATATAATTCATAAATTCAAATTAAACTTAATTATATTAATAGCCATGGTTAATAGTGTGGATGCACGCACGCGCGAGTTTCTCTGTGCACATCTCACGCTTATTACTTTTTCTTTCTTCTTTTGGTGTTTTCGGTTTTTGGTCGAATCATGTGTGTTAGCTCACGTGACTGGAATAAACGAAAAGCTTGGTTAATTTTGTTAATTTAACTGCTCTACATTTGGAAAAAATATGTATGGCAAAAGCGATAAAAAAAAATTACACGTGGGGAGAATCGAATCTTGGCAAGTGTCAATGCAAAAATGACTTTACCACTCATTTTGTTTTTGAACTTTAAAGAAAGCCATAAACTAAACTATTACATGTGTGGTAAACACTTCTACAATATAATAGCACTTATTCTTTTTCTAACTCTAGTAACCCATGGCTAGTAACTTTGTTTTATATTTCCATTTTTGGTCTATATACATGTGGCTTGTCTTATGTATATAACTTTTTCGATTGACATTTTTCAATAATTTCATAAAGGAATTGCAAGTATGATAAGAGTTAATTTATGATTAAATGCATAAGTAGTTTCTCTTACAAGAAACTGGAAACGAGTTGACCACCACTGCACCACAATAGTTTGATAAAAGTACTAAGTATGAGGTGGGAATCAGAAATGTTAAAAAATGGTCAACAAGAGATGTGTAATGTGTAGAGGACTAGGATAATAGGTCTCATGAAATATTACAATGCTTAATAAATACACTAGATAGATATATATTATCCCACTTGCAAATTTATTGAACGTTTTCACTCTTCCCGTACAGTTCTCGTGCCATTCATGCATTTCTCTTTATTTTTTTTGTACTTATTTGTGTGTGTGTGTGTGGTTTTAGTAACATTGCGACATTAATAACTTATATTAGTGTGTGTGAAGAATTTGGATAAGAAATCAAGAATTGTGAAAGATTTCTGTTATTTTCTAGAAGAAAGAGTATCTTAGACAAATCAATTATTGTGAAAGTGTATCTAGAAGAATTGTGAAAGATTTCTGTTATTTCTCTATCTAGAAGAATCAAATCTATATGATTCACAGATTTATTCATATGGACTGGATCAAAATTACTGCAGTTTTCGATCTATTGTGAGTGTTCAAAAAGAAGGGAGAAAAGGGATCTAGTAGGAGTTGAGCGTCTCTTTCAAATCTGATTTGAGAGCTACAAAATCCACACAAAATGGTAAGGCCCATAAGAGAGCACGACATTCTTATTTTGTTGTTGGTGCCTTGGTGGTAGTGATGTGGACACAGGTAGGATCGTTAAGTCTGGTTTTTAGTTTTAAAAGACCAAATACATAATTGAATATTGACTCCAAACTATGTAAAATTTATATTAATTAATATTTTTCATGTTATAACATAACTACAAGTTGGTGATCTATTGCTGGTTCTATTTGTCTTTAACTTAGCAGTTAATATGTTACATCTACAAGTGATAGGGTGATCGAATAGATATAAGTCAACTTGCTTGCTCTTCACGCTATCATCATTCACTCTGTGCATTTTTGAGTATTTATTCCCAGCAAAATGTCGCCTACGATCCACATAAAGATCAAGAATTTCGACTTCTCATCGCGATGGCTCGGGCCTTGGGTACTATATATGTTGTATAGTTCTTTTCTTCACTGTTGTTCCTCCTCGCAGCTCTTATCAAAGCATCGCATGGCCTCTCTCTGCAAATCCTTTAATGACAATGTAATTCTTTATATATCCTTACCTTAGGTTATCTCTCTGCAGATACATCTCCTTGGTTCTTAACTGTGAGAATCTCTTCTTCGTGAGCTGCTCATGAGTAGTTCATCAACGTGCTCATTCTCTTCTTGGTCTACTTGACATTTTGACGGGAATTCCTAACCTAATTAACCAGTGTGACAAATATTTGATCCATTCTTGCAAGTTTTTTGGTACCAATAATTACCATTCCTCCAAAAATGCTATGTACAATCAAAGTACCTTTCTACTCACTCAATGAGAATCTGATTTTTTGAACTCAGTGTAAAGAGAAAAATCAGAAATATATATACTCACGCTTCACAAGAAGACATTCAACATCAAGATCCTTAAGTTTAGGCGTAGCCACAAAGTCTACTTAATGCTTGACACAATAACAATAAGATTGATCATTCTCATCCTTATGAGTAATTGAGCTTGTGCAAGCATGGCTTGTCTTCCCTAGAGAAATCTAGCTAACTTGTTTATAAAACTTATAAAGGCACTGTAACCTTGGAGCTCAGGAGATTCCAAATTGAACCCGAGAATCAAAAAGCCATACACTTCTCCGCCTCTTCGACAAATTTTTATCTAAAATGTCACAAAGTTGTGACTAAAAAATTTCGTCCCAAACTTTAGTCACAATAACTAAAGTTTTTTGTAGTGACTAGTCAGAAAATACAAGAGCATCTGAGATTTTAAAGAGTCCGGTAACATTCATTTCCGCTTGAAAAATATAGACAATCTCGATATCTAAGTATAAAGACGCATTTAACATAATTTCAGAAACAGATTCATCAGAATCTCTATTTTCCACATACGTAATTACTTAAACAAAAAAGGCAAAGCAACTTCACTACTCACTCAGCCTGGAAGAAAAAGGAAATACCGAAATAAGGACTAAATCGTAATTATTACTACAGCTTTCGAACGTTAGTATTTTTCCTTTTTCTATTAATGAAAAGGAAACTTTACAACAACGAAAGATAATAATAAGTTAATTAATCTAATCACATTAAGTAAACCCCTAACCCTAAAGCATTATATAGTACCGTTAGAGGCATTTTCTTTTCTCAGTTTCGCTCTCACTAATTTCTTTCTTTCTCTCTCTATCTAAGTTCTTGCTGCGTATTTGGCCCGATCACTACGATAATGTATTACAGCGATCATCTAGCCCTTGCGGAGAAGGAGATTACTTCTCGTAATTTATGTTGTTTGGTTGATACCGCCGTTATGTTGTACGAAGAAGAACTCCTCCGTAAAGGAAAATCCAAATGCCACACGAAGACGAAGAGTACTCTCTCTGCAAAAGAAGAAGAAAGCGACAAGAGAATCTTCCATCTCTTCCCGAGAAAAACAAGAACTTCGGTCTTTACCAGAAGAAACTCACAACAAAATCTTAATGTGGCTTCTTCTTCATCATCGTTTCTTCTCGACCTTACCACGATCCCGGCTGATTTGAAGACGAGAAACCCACAAAACCCTAATGGAGCTTCTTCTTCTTCTTCATCGTTTCTCGAAAATTACAAGATCATGGCTGAGTCGAAGAAGAAGACTGAGATAAGAAACCAACGAAACCCTAATTCACAGTCGTCTCTGTCTTCATGCCTAACAGAGAACAAAAGCCGCAAGAGACCTGCCACACAAGATACTAAGCGTTGTGGTAAATCCATGAAAGCAAAGGTTGAAACTTTTTCATGGAAAGAGAGAGAGACTCCTGAGTGGCTAACCCTGTTGATGAACGACACGAACGAAGCTGTACTTAAATGGGGAGAGAGAACCGACTTGAGGCTGATCTTTGAGAAGACTCTGTTCAAAACAGATGTCAACCCTGGGGAAAGCCGTCTCTCGATGCCTTTCAACGAGCTAATCCGAAAAGACTTCTTGACCCCTGTCGAGTTGAGAATCATAGAAGAAGACATCAACAGTGACAAGAAGATGGGAATTGGAGCGATTCTGGTGGATCAACGGAATGTAAAGTGGGGTGTGATGTTGAAAAGATGGGAGATGAAGAAAGATTCAGGGAGAGGAAGCTGGAATTACGCTTTGACTTGCGGGTGGAATGATATCGTCAAGGCTAATGGATTGAAACAAGGAGACATCATCAGTGTTTGGTCGTTCAGGTGGGGTGGTCTCCTCTGTTTTGCTCTTGTGACTCCTCCTCCTTCCATTGGTCTCTCTCTCTGACATGTTTCTTCTGTCTCTTGAGACTATATATATAACTCGATTGATCTACTCGAAGGGAAATCTAATTTCAGGCGATTCTGGAGGTTTTGAAGTCTAGTAACTTGTTGGATATAGTAATTAGCAAAACATTAATGTTTCTCTCCTCTATAATTAGTAACTTGTCCCTTGTATTGTTTCAGATATTTCTACTATCGTATGAAAAGAAGTAAACGTTTTGACATGAATGTCGTTTCTTGTTTGGTCTATTTTTGTTTCTGCACTGATTAACCTTTGGCTTCCTATAAAATAAAATATCTCAAAGTGTGTTATGGAATTGATCATATCGTGCAAGTGTATTAAATAAAAGTAATGAATAAGAACTTATTATATATATATATATATATATATATATAAACAGATAGAAATAAAATTAATAACTGAAAATAATAAAGGTTTGATAAACTAATCCTTGTAAGATATTTATTTCAAGAAAATATGTTAATTCAAAACCATAAATATCCCTATCTCGGATTTGCTATGAATAAAAAAACAGTAATCATATATATGATTTTAGCTGAACTCTCTCCATCCTGCTGCCACATCAGCATCTGAATAGAGGACACATGTCCTTTCATCTAATTAATAAATTAGAAATTTTAAAATAAAAATTAAAAACTAATTAATACCACTACTTCTAACTTAACTATTCTATTTAATGTTTATTTCATATGTATTTATGTTCATAACTATTAAAATACATTAATATTAAAGCTTTTCACATTCCTAATAAAAATAAATAAACAACATTTCTAACTTTTTACATTTTTAACTTTTTGGTATTCGTCTAAAACTTTTTAATATTTTTTTATACTAACTTGATATTTTTCTTCCGGCTTATCCTCATCATAAACACTTTTTTTCGAAGCTTGTTGTATAAAAAAAATGTAAAGATGTAGTGTTATCTTCATTCAAAGATTTGGCGGTTTTTATGGGTCAAATATAATATTATTATAGTTGTATTTTATTGTGAAACATAAATTATGGGGTGGTTCTTGGAAAATCAAGACAATTGTACATGTCATAAATTTGAGAACATTAAAAATCAGAGGTAATTATATGTTTTCAAGCAATTCAAACAGAAAAATATGACTTTTATCTACGTCTTTTTTACTCATATCATGTTTATGATTTCTACAATAGTAGAATAATTTTCTTACTTACCATACTTCCAATCTTTAAAAAAAGTTATTTGTTTTACAAAGAATTTATTTTAAAAAAAATTAATACTAAACAATCAAACAAATTACCATATTCTTATAATTAACTATATATATCAACACAAACATATTTTTAAAAATATTATATGAAACAAAATCCGCGCGGATATAAATCTAGTATACGTTTGAAATTTACAGTTTGGGAAACACTTAATTTGGTGAGTCTTGTGAATAAAGGCCAAATGTAGAAAAATAATAATTCATCTATTGAGTACTGCTTTTATTAACTTCACTTATGCCCAACATACACATAAAATTCTACCCCAAAATAGAAAAATGGTCATTTCATACCCCAAAATACGAACATATGTTAAATTTATACGTAAATTGTACCACCTTGTAAATAAATACTTCAATTAAAGAAAAATTCGAATTTGATACATAAAACCTTTAGCTTTGGGCATGATTATATATATTAACCGATCGTTACAGAGTTAAGCAATTTGACTTGCGGGTGGACCTCGGAGATGACATCAGTGTTTGACCTTTCAGGTGGGGTGGTTTTGCCCTTGGTACTCCTCTTTTCATGGCATAACTTGTTTTTTTTGTTTTGTTTTGCAAGAATCCATGCCAACCTTGTTACTCATCCTCCTTGCAGGGTATTGAGCTTCAGCAGAGGAGAGTCGAAGAAAGAGTAAAGACAAAACGTGAGAAGAGAAATTATCTAGTGGAAAGGTAACTTTATCTTATACGGTTGATTTCTCTTACCATTTGTCTGTAGTATCATAGGTTGTAAACAATTTGACATGAATCTGGTTTCTTGGTTAATTCCTTTGGATTCCTGTAAAATTTCTCAAGCACATATAATATAACTAGGGTCATATAAACTTCATTAAGTGATCATTCAGTGATCTATCGTCTTTAACTCAGCCAATCTTATACTACACCTACAAATGATAGACTAATCGAATAAATACAAGTCCACTTGTTGCTCTTTGCACTATCATCATTCACCCTGTCTCTCTCTCTCTGCATTTTCAGCCTTTATCCCAAGCAAAACGTCGCCTACGATCCACGGAAAGCTCAAGAACTTCGGCTTCTCATCGCGATGGCTTGGGTTGTATGTTACATAGTACCAAGCCGATGCTAGCTTCTTCCGCTGTTGCTCCTCCTTGCAGCTCTTGTCGAACCATCCCATGGCCTCTCTCTGCAAATCCTTCACAGACAACGTAATCCTATCCTTCATATCACCATACCTTCGGTTATCTCTCTGCAGATACATCTCCTTGGTTCTCAAAATACCCGTGAGAATCTCTTCTTCGTTAGCAGCTCCATAGTAGTTCATCAACGAGCTTAATTTCTCAGCATACATGTCTCTGTGAGCTTTCGCTGTCTCTATGAAGCTCTCAAAGCCAGCTTCCTCAAGTGTCGAATCATAAGCCATCGTGACCTCGCTCTCAGCTTCTTCTGGCTTTCTCTGTGCTAAAGACCTTTTCACAGCACGGTAAAGTTTCCCAAAGACAGACTCAGAGATGTACATTGGTTTCTCGAATCGTTCCAGGAAATCAGGGAACTCTCTGGGCTTTAAGGCATAAGGCATCTCAGCTGGAGCTCCGGTTTTGGCAAAATCAACAGCCCTGGAGTGAAGATTTGCTAGCTCAAGACATTTCTGGCTCCGGGCTTTTTCAGGGTCACGGTCTGCGTGAATCAAATGTGCAGTTGAGATCACCCCAAGCGTGTCACTTATCATATAATCAACAAAGAATTTGTGGATTTCCTACAAAAGCAGAGAAGAATCAGCTTAGGCTCCAAAAGATTTAGGAAACTTTCAAATTATCAGAGCCTTTTTCGAGAAACTTACCTCTAAGGTGACATCATGATCCATTATGCGAGGTCTGCTTCCAGCGTAGTCCATTGGAGGGTCCATTTGGCTCGGTATAAGCTTCTCATCCCAGCTAACAAAAAACTGGTCTCCATCAAGATCACCACCAGAACATTCATTTGGATGTGGCCTGTGGAGTCAACAAAAATCAAACCATCAACTAAGCTGATCAGATTAAGATTCAGAAGCATATGGTTTCTACTTTGGTGCATAGTAAAATTATACCTTTCTCCCTTCTGAGGAAATACGATGCAATCAAGAAATCCCTTTTGTTCAAAACTGATCTCATAAATTGCATCAAGAACTCTGATGTCTCCAGGGTGAAGACATGGGTTTTTCGTCACGACTACTTTCCCAATCACCACAGATGTTTCCTCATCAATCTTGTGGAAGTAGCCCTGTTCGCGGGATTCCAGTTCTGCTTTGGTCAGGGTCACACGAACGTACACTTGGCCATACTCCAAGATACCCATCTCATCCATGCAACCGATCAAGATCCGTCCTTTCGGTACAAGTATCCTACACCTACTTTTTAGTTCAGAAAGCTGGCTCTCGTGGTGTACACGGAGCATCATTAAGAGGTAAGGCTCTGAACTCGGTGCATATCCTAGTAGCAGCATCTTAACTAGCAGATTCTTGGAACCTTCCCCGCTCAGTTTCTGCAGAACGTTAAGTGCTGCATCGCGGTCTTCAAGCATATTCCCCAGCATAGATAGATGCCCTCTTTGCATCGCCTCAAAGACTGCATCTTCTATTCCGAGCGTCGACAAAAGGCAGATGATTTCACGGTTCAAGAAGCAAGGCATTGATTCTGTCCACCTGGTCACGTTAAGCATCCTGTTGTTGGACTCAAACTTTAGCATACTATCACGCAGAGACAACTTCCTGAAGGAACTGCGGTCAACGGCAATCACACCTTTGTAGCCACCAAATCGGATTTGAAATGCTGAAGGGATATGACTCAGTCCACACTTCTGTGCAACTTGCTTAGCAAATGCCAATGAAATCTTCCCTATGCCATCCGAGAAGCAGTAATCAGCACCATCAGTAGTCACTTCAATGTCAGGGATCTGCTCCACATCTTGCGGACGGACAGTAAGTGTCTGCCGTGAAGCACTGAACAACTGACCCATCCTAGCAGCACATTTGGAAATGCTTCGGATCTTACGGAAACAACCCATCCATTCTCTTACGTTTTCCGCTTTTACCTTTTCGTTAGAAGCAAACATCCAGACCGAGTTTCCTCGCAGCTGGCTCGCTGAAAAAGCCAAGAACTCAAACCTTTTAGGCCCAACGGTGATCCCTTCTCCAAGGATTGTCAACACCCTGTGATAAATTTTGGTCCTAAAGGGTTTCAAAAAATAGCCTTCTTTAGAGTTCACAGAAAGAGCATTCGCTGGAAGCTTGCTCCAATCTTCTTCCACAAAAGTAACTCTCATGAAATCTGAGGCATGCTCTGCAAAGTTCTTGACAACGTAGTTGGCAGTCTCAAGCTCTGGACCCAAAAGATAAATCTTGGAGGGTGTGACGTAGGCTCTCTGACAACTCATTATGTTCTGCTCGGTCAATCTTTTATAGGCTGATGCAGGGGAATGAGCCATCTTCTTAACCACGAATTGCAACTGAGCCTTGACAAATGACAAAGGATCATAACACATAGAGCTTTGCTGGTGCAGTTTCTTGAGAATCACCAATGCGGTTTCCAAGCTCAAACCACGAAGGACGTTGATCAGTTCCATATTTGAAGCGGCAAAAAGAGTAATTTTCTGCGCGTGAACCAGCGAGTTGAGTTGGAAAAGGATCTCATATGGAGGCTCTAAACCCAGATCAAAGGTATTCAAGAGGGGAACAATTTGATTTGCAGAGGCAAAGGTCTTCCCATCCACAGAGGTTAGACTCAAAGTGTCTTCTCTGAAGTAAGGGAAGCTTGAGAAAATGTCTAACGTCGTTGAGCCGTTGTTGACTTCTAAACAAAAGCAATTGGATGTACCGATTGATTTTAAACCGGAGAAATCAGTTGAGCGAATCCACATAAAATCAAAATCCTCCTTGCAGAAACGGTACCGATCAGATTTGAACTTTGTGGCTATATGAGGTCCTGATACTTTTTTATATATCTTTGGTCCATATTTCAGCTGAAAGTAAGACAGCAAGTAAACAAAAAAAAAGTCAGAAGAGACCATAACATACCAAGTAACATAAAATCCATTAAAATCAGCAACAACAAACTGTATAAACAACTCTACACAGACACATCCCTTACATTTCACTTTACATACCATATATCGATCATTAGGCCTTCAATTATCACACAAGATAAAACTAACATATTCTCTGCTTTGCCTCTGCACTTTAATAAGCTTTCACAGAGTTGGATGCATTATCTATCAAATAAAGGGTTTCAACTGCAAGACCAATCAGACCTAAACATAATAGACCAGTGAAGGTTTTTGTCTAAACCCAAAGGCACTCTTGCTTCAGAAAATCAACTCTCAGCAGAACCAAGTTGAAAATGTGTTGTAGCACAGAATGTCATATCATCCAAGCTACTGAACAAAACCACACAAAGGATCTCAATTTCAGCCAAAAAAAAAAACCCTAAGTGAATTAGAGAGATTTTAACATAGCACATTGTCAAAAACGCATTATGAGTCAAAATAATTTCATTCAATCAAGCCATTATCTACCCAATTAAGAGATTTTGGAGCAAAAAAAAAAATAAGGGTAAAAAACGTTTACCCTAAGAAAAAATGCATTAATCTCAGAGGCGCCATTGAAGCAGCATCCAACAGTTTCAACGATATCCTCAAACCTAACTTCGAGCTTGTAACACTCTCCACCATCACAAACCCAAAACTCCACTCTCCTCTTCTCCTCTATAACCCAACACCTCACGCCTTCCCATTTTTCTAGGGCACAAAACCTTCCTTCGTCGGCTTCGGGAAACCCAACAGTCAAAACGACGCCGTCTAGCATCTTCCTGGGATCGACAGGGCGAGGGATGATGTCGTCGTAGGCTTCTGAGATTCTTAGGTTACGAGACTTGAAGAGGAGCTTGCTCTGAGAAGAGAGAAGATGGGCGCGAGACTTGACCTCGAGGGAAGTGAATTGCACGCGCGCGAAGTCTCGTGGCTTCCAATTTTCGCGAGACGTTGGGATTTCGAGGGCGAATACGGTGTCTTCGCCGAGGTGGAGCTCGAGGAAGCGGAGGAGTTCGTCGGCGACTATGGTTTGAGGGACATTGGTGATTTTGACAGTCGATCGCGTCGTTTCCGACACCATGGTTTACGGGAAGAGCAGAGAATACAGAGAGAGTGAAGTGTGGAGAAAAAAGACGATCTTAAGAAAAGAGTGAACAGAGAATCAGAAGAAAGTTTGCTTCTTTTCGAAAAAAGGTAGCGTTTTTCCAAAATCAAAAGCTGCAAAAGACAAGAGTGTCAATTACTATTGAGTGTTTCGCGTATATAAAAAGTTCAATACAGCTTATGATATAAACCGTACGATTACACATCTGTGATCTCAACCTTCGTTGTGGATACTCAACTAATGAGCCGTTGGTTTTTTTTTTTTTCTTTTCATTTCCTAGTTTCTTAAACCGCTCAAATACATGAGTTTTTACCTTAAACCGAACAAGACCATATTCTCAATCCATAAAATAAGTGGACCACCTAATTAAATGTTTCAGTATAATTCACAAAGATCTTATTGGCAATGGCAGTGTGTGTGATCAGATTGGAACTTAATGAAACAAAGAAAAAAAAATCTTTAAATCTAATTCCAAGCCCAGCTTAGAACATAATCTAATGAAACAATTGATTAGGACATTCAATTAATTTTATTTAGAACGCATTTTTTAGTTAAATTGTTGTTGTTAGATCTTTTGTTAATATTTATGTGCACAAAAATTGTATGTTCTTTTGGTCAAGTGTTTAAAACAATAATTTGTGAACTTTTTTCAATACTATTGTCCAAACAATGAGAAGTTTTAGAACATGATTGAAATTGTAGAAATAATAGCCTCATACCTAGGTTAGTATTGGTGATGTAATAAGTTACGCAACAAAACAAAAACATTATGTCATTTTTGTCAATGTACTCTTGGTTTTCGGATACGTTTTTGGTTGATATGTTATTTAATAACTGATTATTCAAAGATACCTTTTTGGTTGATATGTTATTTAATAACTGAGTATTTAAAAAGCATTCATCCATAAACCAGTTACCGGTATAAATAACGTCTCCTTAAATCTTTTCTGCCAGCGGTTTATGTAGTGATTCCTACTTACTAACATTCTTTAATGAAATTACAGGGAAGAATAAGAGTATAATTACGGGCTCATCATGTTTTTTGTCAAACGATTTAAATGGTATGAAACCGACAAACATGTGTAGTTAAGAAGGATTGAGTCTCCAACTTTAGTTTTACACAGAGAATCAAGAATCAGATTAAAAAAGTTATATGCACAGAGAGCAGATGATTTTACTCTGTCAGGTGATAATTTTTGCAAGTAAAAATGTGTTGAGCGTCATATTTCAACAATACTTTTTTTTTCTTACAAATAGTTTATGATATTAAGATATTTTATATTTAAATTAATATCTGAAAAACACATAAAAAAACACATAAATATATAATTTTTTTTTGCGCTAAACAATTTTCATGACTCAAAATCTAAACCAATAATAATTTAAAAACTTCAATTATTTTCAATAAATGCATTTTAAATTTTAAAATTCGGTACAATTTATCAGTGAAATGCATCGAAAACTTAAAAAATCTATCTTTAGGAAACAAAAAAACTAGAAAATCTATCATTACAAAACAGAGGGAGTACAATTCATGATCTTCAAGCAGTTTGAGCAACCGGTTCCTCAGATGCTTCAAGCCTTCAAGAACAAATATAGACATTCCATCAACAACTAATCTTATGTATAAAGCAAATACGTAACATATACAAAGCCACTATTATATTAACCTTTCGATTCCTTCCCCAACCTCCACTCTCAGAAAATTGGCAACCTTCACAGGAGAACCCACTTCCTTGGACAAATTATCCACCAGTGTCTATGTAATGACCATGGAAATTTAAAAAATTCATGGCCTTTCCATTCAACAAAGTAATAACCATTCGATGTTAAAAGATAGATCATCATACCTTTATGTTTATAGTATCGTTCACAATAAACTTTTGCTCCATTAGAGCAACTTCTTCAAAATATTTACGCAGGCGGCCTTCCACCATCTTCTCTACAGCCATCTGAGACTTGGCTGTACTTTCTGCCTGTCAAAATTCCACATTTCATTAGACGGTTTACACATTACAGCACAATTTCATAACGAGAAAGTGAAAGCGACCTGAGACTTTAAGATCTCGCGTTCATTTGCTATTGCTTCTGAAGAGACAAGTTCTTTGCTTAAAAACAAAGGCTTTGCTGCTACAACATGCATGGCGAGTTCTGAGCCTACACGCTGAACAGCCTCTAGTTGAGTATTTTCACCTTCTACCTCGAGAGATACAATCCCAGCTATACGACCCAACCCTATTTTCATATATATATAAAAAGTTAGAATTATATCAGGAAAAGAGAATAACAGTAACTATATTGAACAATCTGTTTACCTGGTTGGGGACTTGTGTGGAGATATGCAGAGAGGACGCCTGCTGAAGATTTTGATAGCAAGAAACCTCTCCTAAACTTGACATTCTCTCCCATAATGGCAGCTACTTCTGTAACAGCATTTGAAACCGTGGTTTCCCCATTCACTTTTGGATGATCGAGATTGAGCTTCAACTCCTGAATGGCATCCGTTAGAGACTTAGTTGGAGCAAACAGAAAATAACATAGAGCCATGTTGTCTAATAAACAAGAGAAAACGAAGTGAGTGCATCAAACAACTGACCTGAAAAAGCTCAGGTCCAAAGGGTAAGACACCAGAAACTTGCTGAGAACTATTTTCAACCAGCAAAGCGCGTTTTGCCATAGCTAAAGCCTACAAGAAACAGTAAAAATAAACGGAAAGCTCATTATTTAGAAGATGAAATCACCAGCAAACAATAAAGCAACGTATGAGAAATCGCTATGGCACTAACCAAGTACTGGAAAATGTCGTTCCTAGCAACAAAGTCTGTCTCACAGTTTAGTTCGATAACAGCAACTTTTCCCTCATTTTGGGCAACGGCAAGCATTCCCTCTGCAGCTGTCCGTGACGATTTCTTCGAAGCCAACACTTTTCCTCTCTTTCTCAAATCCTTCTGAGCAGCCTCTGTGTCAAATCCAAAAACACACATTAGAGCACAAGAAACAGAAAGAAAAGTGAAGCAAAAACCTCGAAACCAGTTCTTACCAAGATCCCAATTGCATTCAACAAGAGAAGCTTTAACATCCTTAATGGGAGCACTAGTTCTTTGCCTAAGTTGTTTGATGAGGCTCATCTGGTCAGATACAGCCTCCGAACTAAAACTCCGCAAGAATTTCCCAAAACCACGAACAGGACTTGCGTATCCATGCGATACAGAGTTCTTATAATGAGACAGACTTTCCAACTTGCTTGCCACAGTAGAGTACTCATGCCCAGAACTAAATCTACCACTAGCACTATAAAAAAACACTCCAATGGGTCGTCTCGCTGCCCTAGCAAACGCCATTTTTGCAACCTAAAATTGAAATCAAAATAGGAAACAAAAAAAACTCAAATTCGAAAAATACTGCAACTACTCACCAAACCAAACAAACTCGATAAAAAGACAGACTATAATATGCCAAATGAGACAAACGCGTGGTAATATTTCACTTCGTTTCCAATCAACAAGTCAAAATATTATTGATTTGCCTGACTAATAGAAAAAAGGGCACAAAGATTTTGAAATCCAAGCTACATGTCTAAACGAAATTACAGACATAAGAGCATGAGAACCGACAATCCAAGTTCTAATAATTACCCTTAGAGTTATTTAACCAAACCAACAAGCATAATTACTACATTTTCCATGGAGAAAACATGAATATTTCCCGACTACACTAAAACTATGCAACTTATATGAAATGAAAGCTTAAGCCTTTCAAATTCCTCAAGAAAAACAAAAAATGGAGAAGTTTGATGGAATTCAATAAAACGAGAGCCAAAGAGTATTATCATGTTCCCTTGCGTAAATCTCAGAACATTCAGTCTAAGAAGAAAAAACGGAGACTCACTCAGAGGATCCTTGTGTTAATAAAAAGCGATTAAACTTGACTAGAAATAGATCGAGATCATAGAAGATCGAATAGCTTCGAAATGGAGCGTACACGGCGATGAGGGGTTGTTTGGTCACTGAGATAACGGAGGAGAAGCTCCTAAGCTACGGCGATGGGTTTTGTAAAACGGACTGAAATTGGGGAAAAGGGTTTAAGCTAAATGAATATGGGCCGAATAATTGGCCCATCATCAAGACTTTGTATAGTCTTCTCACTCTCTCGTGCTTTCGTCTCCTCCGTTTGGTTGATTTTTGCAGAAACCTCTTGATTCCTTATTCCTTCGATGGAGAAAAAGCTTCCCCAACCAATTTGCGGCGAAGAAGCTGTGAATCTTCTCAACTGCGTTTCGGAATCTCCGTTCGATCAAGAGAAGTGCATTCGTCTCATGCAATCTCTCAGAGAATGTGTTGTCTCAAAGGTAAATTTCCAGATTTCCGATTAAACGATTGTTCGAATTTGTAATTAGTCTAGTAATTTATATGTTAGATTCCGAATGTGGGTTATGAAATTTCACTTTTGAGTATTTGAGATTCTTTTTCTCCTGTATGATCTCTGGATATGAATTGTTATGGAAAAAAAAGAATTCAATTTTATGCTTAGTTTTTGGTAATGAATGTCTGATGCTTTTTGATTAGTTGTTTTTAAGCTATTGGATCAGAATTTTGCACCAAAACTCAAAACAAATTATTCTGAAAGTGAGAGTGAGAGGAAGGATGCTTCACTCAGTTCACTGTTTGTGATTCTTTACTCTATCTTATAGATGTGACTGTTTGATTTGGAGTAAGCAAGGTCCTTGTACAATCAAATAGAAATCTTATGTGGAATGGTTGATAGTGTGTATCAGCATAGTGTTTCAGTTGATTTCTGTTTAAGTTAAAGAGATATTCAAGTTCTTCATCATTTTATGGGGAATGATTTCATTTTCTCCAAAGTAAGTTTTGTGATACTGATACTTTTAATTCATTGTCTTTGTCTCAGAAAGTAAAGAAATTCTCTATACCAAGTGATTGCCATAACCAAGATGGAGGAACAGCTTCAGTGAGCAAGAAACCTTGATAACCTAATATTATGCATTTCTGAGATTACTTTTGTCAAAATAACAAACAACTGCATTCGAATTCACCAACTCAATTTTCTAAAAGAAAAAGATAAAAGCTCATATCAACTATATATACATCAAAAGACAAAGAGTATGCTCTATACTCTATAGGGGCGGAAGCAAATTTACATCACAAAGTGAGATCTGGATTCATAACTTTAGGAGGCAAATAAAAAAATATCAAAAAACCTTAGAACATCACCAAGAAAAGCTCTTACCTTACTAAGTATACTCATCGATTTGGCGGTATAACACTAACCGCTCATCAAACTGCAATCGCAACTATGTGTACTTCTCTCTTTTTGAAGAAAACTCCAACACTGTAAATTAGACTTAACTCTTGAACATATCTCTTCTGTGTTGAAAGCTTTGTTCATGATCGCAACCTTCTCCGCAAACTCGGTAATAAGATTGTTTTTGTCCGAGTCTTGGGTTGATGGTTCAATTTTAAACTCTCAACCATTTAGGGCTTCAGCTGAAGAATTACCTCGGCTTTCTTATATATATATGATTTCAGACTAATTCTAGAACTTTGATAGACCCATTTGAGCTAGCTGAAACAACCATATTCGATCTTTTTCTCCAGCAAACGCTTGAAACAAATAGGTTGTTGTCTTCCTCAATCTCCTTACCTGATATCGGATCAATGGAACCAAACTTGTACGAGGTTATCGGCATAGGAAGAGACCGGTGATATGCATAAACCTAAGCAAAGACACAAAAAAAAAAAAAAAAAAAAAAATAGAACATCATTTGAATATCAACTGGAGCTACTAATTAAGTTGAGAATCAAACAATCAACCTGTGGTAATGCTTGTTGAAGGATAATAGAAAGAGAGATTTGGAACACAAAGTTGTATAGGAATTTTCAAATAAGTTCCCAAGTTTGTGGGGTCATACCTCATTTGTCTCAGAGCCACAAGCTATATATCCATCGGCAGTAGACAAACCAACAAAGTTCTGAAAAAGGCAGGAATATGACAAATCAACCGCAAAGGAAAAAGAGGAACATTATAAGGTTTAACTTAAAACTAAAGTGTCAGCATTAGCTACCTTCTCATTTGTATGGCCACCAAAAGTTAAGCTGCAAGCATTTGTGGAGAGGCCACCGTGAGTGGTTTTCTTAAGATCCCAAAGCTTTAATGTGTTATCAGTTGACGCTGTGACAAGGGTTTCATTATCCAAGAATTTCACGTAGCTAACTGCTTTGTTGTGCCCTGATAGTATGCACCAAGGAGTTCTTAAATTCCGTAGATCGTAGCAGTACGTTCTGAAATCTGATGATCCAAATGCTAGCAGATGAGAGGACTGTGGAGAAAATTGCACACAACAAACATTTGCAATGTTCCGGATTGTTCCTAAGCAGTTCCTCTGCACAGTTATGCAACAAGATTGTGTATTAGCTACAAGGCCGAAAATACGAGCGTCCCAATATTAACAGAATAACCCAAACTGCAATATATATGCCAGATATCTCAGTACGAGTAGCAATTAAAACGAAAAAATCAAGCATAATGTGCCTATGCATGTTAAGGTAAAGAAGACCATGCCTCATTGATGTTCCATAGCTTCACAGAACAATCATCGCTTCCACTGGCTAATTTTGTAGGACAAGCTTCAGAGAAGTCAACAGACCAAGCCCTCTTTTCGTGCTCTATGAAATGTGAAATGGCCTGTCCTGTTGTCACATCCCATAACTGGATCCATCATAATACACTTGAATTCATTAGATCAAAGGAAAAAAAAGGCAATCAAGTTAACTAATCTAAATAAAACTTTAAAGGTTAAAATACCTTGACAATGCCATCATAATCAGATGAAGCTAGGTAATTCCTGATATAGTTGTTCCAGCAAACGCCGCTAAGTTTTGATCTATTTGGCATTTCTACGGCTGGATAATGAATGTCGACAGATTCTTTGAATAGGGAATTGAACTCAAATATCTTAATTTTCTTTGACACACCAGCCGTAGCAAAATAATCCTCGTCCCTATCAAAACCCAGAGAACAAATCACATTTGAAGTGCTGTGTAACTCCCCAGTCCTTAGCACACCCCGAGTTTCAAACTTACTATATCGAGCATATTTGCATAACCCATCAAAGAACGCTCCAACACGATCATCTGAGCTCCAAGTCTCGCTATTTTCTAATTCTGTTGTAACATTATCATGATTTCTTAGCAGATCTCTATCTGGGCGTAACCTATAACGTGCTTCAGGGAGATGAGCATCTATCCTTGCTGCAAAATAAGCGCTTTCAAGCTGATTAATGTTCCTGATCAGTCTCATTTCAGGTACACTTGAAGCAAGCGATGAGCTTGAAGCTTCTTCCACAGACAGAGGCCTTATGGCACAACGTCTTTTGACAATCTCTACGATATCTGCTTCTACGGACACAATTTCTTCCATCAACTTTCCAGCATGCTTCTGCCTTTGCTCTTGGGACAAAACAAGAAAATGCTGCAACAATTCAGACTCTGTGTCCTCTTGTTCGATAGATAATGATATGCCTTCAGCATACAAATCTGGAATTCCACTAACCACTTCAGATTGCAAGATGTCCCTGATACAGAACAACATCGAATTTACAAAAAGTTAGAGATTAAGCCAACGCATGATATCGAATCAATAAATTATGACAGGATGGAGCCTATCAACACCCAAGAAGCTCGTTTACTCGAAATACCATATTTTATGCGTAGAACCTAATAATCATATCTGAAACTGTTAACGAGACAAACTTCTTGTGTTTATAGACAGATGAACACCTCTACGTTTGGTACATTATTACATTTCCTGTGTAATATCCAACAAGACTATCTTCTAATAACCCCAGTTGTGAATATGGCCCTAAACCTTCTACAGAATCAAGCATATAAAAGTTCTATATCATAAATTTTTGTTACTTAAAAATTAATATAGCTAAAGAATTTGCATTGCCTGGCTGATGGTCGGAATGAAGGTGTTGGATGAAGTAACCAGAGACAGAACCCAGCTTCCTTTGGATTCTCTGACAGAAATTTGGGAGGAAGAATCCGCTGATGGATATCAGACATCGCAACCTCGTGAGCTCTTTCACATTGAAACTGACTAACCAGCTGACGCAAAAATCCAAATTAGAATATCAACAGGAATGATCTGTTTGACCAAGGAACAGATGAATAAGAAAATACATTAACCTAAGAGCCAAGAAATCAACTATAATGTCGACTAGAAATTGCACTTTTAGGAGAACATTAACAAACATTCAACACTATCTAACCCTATGTGATAATCCATAATTATGCACTCGTTATTCACGCGACATTGCCTATTAACATAAATCAAATACAATAACTTTACTATTGACACGTAGGCATAAGATTTAGAGATGATGAGTCATCAATGTCAAATGATGACTTCAGTGGCGGGAGAAGATCAACAAGAGTGAGAAGACGTAATCCAAAATACAACGAGCCTAACATGACCCACTCACGCTAAGATATCGCAGTTTCTACAAAGCTGCGTAGTTGAAGACATTATTCCATGGGAAAAACTTAAATAGGGTGTCAACAGTACGGAACTACGCGGTTTCACAATTCAACTCATGGATGAAAATTTTACAATTGCAGGCCAAAAGCTACAATAAAGATGTCGCGCCACAAGTGCAATTAATCAAGATTTCTCCATACCTCAAAAAGAAGAATACCCAAACTATAGATGTTTGAAGAGACTGAAAGTGTGTCGCCTACGAGCTCCTCAGGACTCGCATACCATTTCTCTTCCAACTGCTCACTCCTTGAAGTAAAAGGACGAGCAGCTGTACTACGATGTGCTTGACTAGATCGGAAACGAAGTTCCTGTGCATCATCATTTCCAGTTTGGATATTAACGCCGCCAGCTCGTTGAAACATAGGCCACTGAGTAGAGCTTGGTCCACCTAATTTCTGCTTCTTAGCAGGGAAAGAGGGACTAGGAGAAAATCCTGAATCTCCTGACCGCCTTCTAGCCAGAGGGTATTCGAGTTGCCTTATAGGATCTTTGTTCATATTGCCGTCTAAAGACTCGCTCTGAAAACCTGAACCCACGTACTTGACAGCATTTTCCTTGAAAATTTTGAATAAAGATGGACGTAGGTCACATAAAACAACTCCTTGAAAATGAGAATCATCCACATGCTCCACGATCTGCCTAAAGATATACATACATTCGGCTTTATTAACTTTATGACGCTCTGACTTCAACCATTCTCTCAGACTTAAACCTTCAACTCCACAACCTCTATGCATATCTGAAGGGTTACCACAAGAAGATGGATTACTGGCTTTGGAAAGAAAGCATGGTAAAACATCAGAAGCCGCCAAGGGAATGCTGCTAGAAACCTTTGCTGAAGTATTTGATGTTACTAGAGAGTTACCAGAACTAGTTACAATTTGCTTATCCATATTGCTCGGCATAGATCTATTACGTGCCGGTCCTCTGAATGTAACTCCCTTTCCTTTCAATGTTTTTTTAACAAAAAACTGAGAGAAACCAGACTGCGATAACATCTTTGTCTTGATGCCTCCATGGGACAATGCCTCTGCTGGTGCAGGATTTCGTTCAACATTTCTCAAATGTTCATTAGCTCCACCGTTAACAGTAATGGCCAGTTGATCTCCAGTTGAAGTCTCAGGCAAGGACAATTTTCCTGCATTTCTCCTGATAATTGGTGTTCCACTGACACTTTCTCTCTTACTCACAGAACTGCTACTAGGTAAATCTCCATCTACTGGAAAGCGATGCCGAAGCTGACCACGATTGATCTCTAATCTACCTCTATTATTTGATCTACCAACTATGGCCATGCTCGAACCTTCACAAGTTTTAACAGTCAACTCCTCAACCACGTCCTCCGCATCATTTGTATTCTGCTGGCTAGAACATGGTGCATTTTCAGCTTGATTCACATTCCTACCATCTAAAAAATCTGCTATTACACCAAATGTACCATCAGGAGAACCAGCATCTCTCTGAACCTCCACTTCTTTGATTTCCTGGACTTCACAGTTCTCCGGTTTAAGAGATTGCTGACCATTTTTGAACTGAAGGTGAGCAACATCGGCTTCATCGATCCTACTCACATCCCCGACTGAGCCTTCATCCATCATTCAATGTATCATCGATATTACACCGTACTGAAATTTAAAGAGAAACACTTTAGACAAAAAGAGGGAAACACAGAAAGTTTATAGCATCAACTACTGTCCTGATTTGAGCTTCTTGCAAATCTAATAAGCAAACATCGTATATAAAACCATACCAACTTATCACGAAATCTGAATTGCACCACACTACTCAAAGGTTACAAGTACTTTCCCTTTTCCCTGAGACTTAATAGTTTTTGGGACTCTAAGCTAATCAAATTAACAAAAGCTCGATTCAAATCACTAACACATAGCTTTGATTCAAAATTAAAGTCTAGGGCGGAATCCAAACTAACAAGGGTAATCAATACTGTCATTTACACAATCCAATTTTTAACAAATATAAAATATAATTGTAAGACAATCACAGAAACACAAGAACTACCATTATCCAAATCAGACAAAAGAGTGGGAACCTTCGGAATTTCAACCGTATAAGATTTTTATTTTTATTTTTCAGGTTTCGTGAAAAAAGTGTACGAGATGAGAGTTTCCCTTCTACCTCAGTGATGATGATTAAGAACACGAGCCGCAAAAATCGCAATCGCCAGGAAGCCAATCATTGATGAAAGATCCACCGACGTAATCGAAGGAGGAAGACGATAGCAAAAAAAAGCGGTGGGAGAAGAGAAGAGCAGAAATCTGAAAACAAAACGACGGAAATTTGAGTAAACGTCGATTCGATAAATATCTTTTCTAAGGCAGAAAATGAATTTGACTGTTTTTGAGTAAGCGACAGAGGAACACGATAGATAAACTCCAAAAAAAAAAAAAAAACTTTAATTTTTTGTTATATCAGAACTGATCCCTTAAGTTTACCAATGTTTACATATATTCACCAATACTTTTTTCTTCACCAATATATAGAGATTTTAATTAAAGTTTAGTAGCCGGTTGATCTTTTATCTATAAGAAATCGCTCTTCACATTTCAATTTAATTGAATGTTGAGAGCTAGATTGCCAAATACTCCAGTATATGATTTGGTTATTAACTCAAGAGATTCTTTTATTCTCATAAAAAAAACGTGAGATAAAGAAATTTCACATGAGATAAACAAAAATTTATTAAAAAAAACGCTTAATCACATTTAAGATGTATATTAACTTCACAATCAATTATATATTCTCATTATATTTGTTTGGGCAAATTTTAACCGGTTCGTGTGTAAATAATCCTACGGAATGACGAAAAAAGATAGATCTTTATTAATCAACGAGTTATAAGCAATCAATATCGAAAATCAAAATAAGTTGGTATCGTCCGTTGCTCGGTAGTCGTCGTCGATCGGCGAGAGCGAAGATACAAAGAGATCTGGTCGTTCTCTGTTGCGGGAATAGAGTTTTTAGGGTTTTCTGCAGTATGTGTTTGTGTCCGTCCTTGCTCTAAAACTTCTCTATTTATAGGGTTATGTCAATCCTAATTCTTATTGAATTATGCTTTATATGTCGGTCGGTCTTTCCATATTTCTCTTTGAATTGGGAGCTCATGTCGGTCGGTCGCTCCAACTTTTCTAGACGGTTTATTCAAGAATATGAACCAACAACTTATAATAAACCACTGGTCGATGTTAAACCGATTGACAAAGACGAATAGTCGATGTTGAGACTCTCTCTCTAGTGACCGTTTGTCACTCTCATTCTTTTCAGGTACATGATCACAATGACTGTTCGTCATTTGCACTCTCCTATCAGCGACACGATCACAATGACCATTCGTCATTCTTTTCCTCTTGCCAATAACATGATCACAGTGACCGTTCGTCACTTCTTCTTTCTTAGCAGCGACATGATCACAGTGACTGTTCGTCAATCCTTTTCACTTAGCAGTGACATGATCACATTGACCGGATAATGAATTAATTTCACCAAACAACTTGCCCCCTACTCTTCAATTTCTTATTTAGAATTTGGAGAGTAACTTAGCCTTTGTGATCGCTGGTCAATGTACGACAATATTACTTGTCTATTAGAACCTTGTTTGGTTTTACCATATCTCGATTCGTGGTCATTCCTTATCTAGGATGGATAAGCAAATTCAATTAATAATGAACATAGCTGATAACACCGTATTTTGACTACTTTTATAGATCATAATTGTATCTTATGCAGGTGTTTTAACTCTGTTTTCAATGTTTTTTAAAGTGTTTTCAATGTTTTAGGGTTTCAAAAGACTTTACAGGAAACTTGGGCAAAAGATATGCAATTTGGAACAAATGAGCAATTTTGGATAAATGCAGACCGTCAGAAGTATGACAAGAGATGAAGACCTTCTCACCGTCTGATCACCCCCAAAATTTGAGACAACATAGAGGATCCAACCAGCTTTCTAATGCACTTGGTTTGGAGACAATCCAACGGTTAGATCTTCAGATACTCCCGATGCAAGAATGACAGAAAATGCAGTTTCAGAAGAGAGCAAGTGCCGGGACCGCGGCCAACACCTATTTTCCCGCGGGTAGAGCCACCGCGACCGCGGACTTTGGTCGTTCACTTTCCCGACGACTTAATTAAAGCCCAGATCAATTCCCTTCGTTATTTTTGAAGCCCTAAGTGTCCAGGACCACCCCAGAAGCTATAAATACCCTCTTTAGGTCATTCTAAAGAGGCAGAGACCAATAGAGACCGAAACTTAGACAACTTAGAGAGAGAGAGAGAGAGAGGGATTTCGGCTGGAACCCTAGAGGAGGCCGCCGTACCCGAAGAAGGAGCCGCCGCTGGAGAGCATCATCGCGCCTCCACCTGCAACTCTGTTCTTCGTTCTTTTTCCTTCTTTTCTTTAATTTCCTGCAACTTTCAATACTCTGTGATGATTGTTTACAATATGTTTGAGTAGTTACCCAGTTGGGTTTAAAGGGATTTTTCAAAGGGAATCTCATGTGTCTTTGCTTATGAATCGATAGATTTAGGATTTATAATCTTCTAGATGTTCTTCGTTTGCCTTTAATCTTATTGCGTGATTCTTTGTTGGCCACTTAGAAGCCGATCTGATATGATATGTTGCGAAAGCTTTCATTGATTGTCTGAACTAGGGTAAAACGAGCAATTTTTCTATAGGAGTGGAAACCTACCTGTAGTTGAGTTGTGAATATTGATGAGTCTTGTTCTGCTATTGCATCTTCTCCCTTCCAGAATCAGAGTGGAAACCTACTGATTAGGGTTGCGAGAGGTAGTTGTTTGGTGCTGCGAAAGTAGGTTATTCATACTTCCATGCCTCGAGTTCTAGAACATACGTAGTTGATTACCTTTATCACTTGTTTAAAATCGACATAGCATAGTCCGTGAACCCCTGCGAAACCCCTTGAGCCCCAACGTTTGTCTTTCATTGCTTACAACCTTAGATTTCCATTCTGCTTTTATTCGCTTGTTACCTGCTTTCATTCATAACCGATTTTTACTTGCTTGCACTTGTTTTCGTTTTTATTCGCTTTACTTACTTTCGTTTTTGTCAATTGCTTTTTAGTTTTTAATTGCTTTCTAGTTTAGATTTAGTGACAACCAAAACCCAAAACCAAAACCCAAAACCCTTTTAGTTCTAATCTGATTTAAGTGTTGCGTTGAATTCGTACTGAAACAACTAAGTCTCTGTGGATCGATACCCTAAGTACTACAGCGCACATCTGTGCACTTGCAGACATTTAGGGGTTATAAATTTAAAACCTGAAGCTTAGTAAAACGAAAACAACCAACCTCGTTTACAAACCGCATCAAGTTTTTGGCGCCGTTGTCGGGGACTTAAATTTGTTTCGTTGCGAATCCCAGCTTAAATCCATTAGAACATTTGTTTACTTTTACTTTTTCTTTTGAATTTTTCAGGTTTCTCTGAGATGAGAGACCGGGAACATGTTCCCGGGACTCTTGGTGATCCACCAAATCGTGTGGATGGTGATCCAAGCGATGATAACCTGTTTGATGACGAGCTTGAAGATTCGATCCATGATGACAATGAGCTAATCGGATCGGTCAAACACAAAGATGATGATGAACTGATTGGAAGTTTCGATTCACTCGAAAAGTTCATGGGAGATCGAAGAGCTATTCAACCAGCCTTACCTGAGGATGGCAAAACCGAAATTAAGGTACCCCATATCCATTTAGTTCAACAAAATCAATTCTCTGGTTATTCATTCGAAAACCCGATAGACCATATCGAGACTTTCGAAGAATTATGTGCAACCATTACAGCAAATGGGGATTACCACAAGTGTAGTCTTTTCTCATCTCTCTTAGAGATAAGGCCAGCAAATGGCTAAAATCTTTGCCACCTGCTTCACTAAAACCGTGGGCAGCGTGTAAAACTGCTTTCCTAAATCGTTTAAACACTAGAAATCTTGCAAATCTCTTAAGAAAGAAGATAAGAACTTTTAAACAAAAAGAAGATGAAGATCTTTTAGGTACTTGGGAAAGATTTAGGGAATACCAAAGAGATTGTCCACACCATGGATATGCCGAGGAATACCTGCTAAGTATCTTCTATCACGGTATAACTCCTGAGTTGCGACACTCTTTTGATATAGCAAGTAGCAAGTAATGGAGATTTCACAACTAGATCTGTAGAAGATGCTCACGTTTTCATTAAAAATTTAGGAAACAACATCCGAAATCAAGTAACCTTTGGTAATTCTGCACTTCCTGAGAAGAAAGAAGAAATTTTGGAAGTTATAAAGTGTCTCCGTCACATAATGAGTCATCTTGGATTGCAACAACCAAATAAGGTACACAATACATGTAACTTTGATGGCTGGGACAACCCAATGGATTCTTATGATCATGGGATGATGAACACTGCAGAAGTCTATCAAATTCATGATGTTCCATTCGTTTCTGATCACCGCGGTCGTGGCTGTTCTGACCGCGACCAAGCAACCTTTCACCGCGGTCGTGGCTGTTCTGACCGCGGCTGAGACGTGTTTCACCGCGGTCGTGAGCCACCTGACCGCGGGAAATTGTTTTCCAAACTTGGTTGGACACCACCTTCCGAACCAATCTCAGCTATTCAATCTAATCCTGTTTCCTATCCTAGTTTTCCTTCTTCTGAAGCTGAAAACCTAAACAAAAAGATTCTAGAGCTTGAAAAATCTATGTCTCAAGAGATTAGTGATCTTAGATCTGAAATAAAAGAGATGCAGAAGGATTCCGATACCCTCCTTAACATAATGGTCAAAACTAATTCTAAAAAGTTAGAAAATTCTGAAGAGGAGCTAAGTGAAAATTCTTTCGAAAGCTCAAGTGAAGCAGATCCCTCTGATGATGTGAAAGCTATCACACATAGGAGTGGATTAGCTTACAGAGAGCCTGAATTTCCTAAAGATCCCGCAGATGAGGAAAAGGGTAAGGAAAAGTAGAAAGAAACAGAAAGAATCACGAATGAAGATGTTGAAAAAGAAGTGGTAGGAGAAAAGGATGGAGAAGAAGTAAGAGAAGATACATCCCGGGAAATCCTTGGAGAAGACCCGATTCCACCTCCACCAACTCGTGTCTACAAACCTAAACCTCCATATCCTAGAGCCTTAAGAGCCCCTAAGAAAGAGAAAGAAAAAGCTAAGCTGAAAGAGTTAATTGATTAACTAAATGTGAGATTACCTTTCGTAGAAGCTTGTGCTATGATTTCTGCTTTAAGAAAATACATGAAGGGTATTCTAACAAATTCTTTAACTCTTGAAGAAGGTGTTATGATGATAACCCATGAATGTAGTTCTATCCT